ACCACGGTTCAATCCCCCAGCACCACATGCCAGCCAGCCCCGCCCCCTGGTGGGCTGAGCTGGCCACACACACACATACACACACACACACACACTAAATAAATAAATAAACATTTAAAAAAAAGAAAAAAAACCAAATCTTTCTTCTCATCGAACTAAGAGGAAGTAGCTATATATCTATCCTATTTTGTATATACATATATTTTTTTCACTACAGAATAATCCTTCATTTGTATCCCCCTTTTTTGCTTTGTTTTGTCAGAGATGGGTGTTTCACTGCTGTTAGAGAAGCTGTATTTGAAGAAGTCTTTAAAAGACCTTTTCATACTTGATGCCAGTTCAAATATTGTAGGCACTTGAATTCAGCAAAATATTCCAATATAGTCCAATAGTCCATAATAGCAGTGGGTTATCAGCAGAACTGGCAATTGTCAGAGGTTGTTGACTTGAGCCTTTTACAGCTCAGCATATTAATATGGTGTTACTTTTTATACCTCATGGTTATATTTTGCTGGATGGTTAAGACCAAATTAAATCCTGAGGGGATTTGACTGATCTTGTCAGATACAAAAGTTACATTTTTAGTTAACTTCATTCTTTCTTTCTTCTTCCAATTTTACATGTACATATCTGGTAATCCAAACAACTAACTTGAAGACAACACTACACAATATAACAAATACTGTCAAAATCTCATTATTTTTAGAGAAATTCTACATCATTTGTAATTTTTCTATTTTAATACTATTTTATACTCCCCTTCAAAATATATATATATATATATATATATATGTATATATATATATGTATAATTGGAAAGGAAATTGGAAACTATTGGAAAAGATAAGAGAACTATGGAGAAGGAAAGGAAGAAAGGGAAAGAAAAAATGAGAAAATAAGGATTAAATGAAAACAAAGCTTTGTGAGTGGTGATCAGGGTATCTGAAGGGAGAGGATGGGAATGGAAAAAAAAGAGGAGTCTTGCCTGGCAAGCACAAGGGTCTGAGTTCAATCCCCAGTTCTGCCCAAAAAAAAAAAAGGGGGCTGGGGAGATGGCTCAGTAGGATAAGCACTTGACTGGCAAATGCAAGGATCTGAGTTCAATCCCTGGTTCCACCAAAAAAAAAAAAAAAAAGATATTCATGACAGGTGCAAATTCCCTATGATGAATGTGATCATTATGAACACCTAAAATGCACCAATAAACTTAAACTTAAAAACAATTGTCACTGAACTAATCACTGCTGAGAATTCCCCCCAGCAACTCAGTTCTTAGAGTGGTCCAGGGTTACATAAGAATCCAGACAGCCCTCATCTCTTAAATGACCTACCTGCATTCTAAAGAGGTCTTCATAACTTTTCTTCTGTATATCCTTCAGGTGAAGAGTGGCCAGCACTGCAGAGAGAAAGGAGAATCTGTGCCAAGTCCCGCTCTGATCTCAACAAGGCAGGGTCAGAAAAGGGTGCAGAGCTGGGATTCTTTACCTCCTGCACATGCACACATCAGACACTGCCCTTAACTGACAAACAAGAGCATGTGATCAGCTGGACACTTGCAACCACACATGGAGAATAAAAAGGGCTATCAAAAATGCCCCTTTAAAAAAAATGCCCCTTTACTTAGCATTAATAATGAATACTGCAAAGACACAAAAAGAGTGCTGAAAACAACCACATGATGTTAATGGGTAGAGGAAGGCCAAATGCAGAAATTAAGCCCAGGACCATAAGCTGCCTACCCCTGCTTTGTTTGATAGATCCAAAGCCTATAGAAAGCTGGACCTGCCTTGCTGCCCCACTGGTTCTGATGTCCAGAGCAGTAATGTTGCAGAAGGTTTACTTTATCCTCCTCAACCCCTTGGTGCCCCAGAGGAGGGTCTGGCTGGGCCCAGAGTGAAGGTTTTCTCCACTGCTGCCAACTGAGTGACAGGAACGCTTGAGGGTCAGAGAAACAGTACTACCATCAAACCAGACCCAGGGCTCCTGGGGTAAAAAACACAGGTAACAAAAGCAGTGGGGTCTCAGGGTAGCTCTGTGATCACACATGCAAAACATATGTATTATCGCTGGGCTATACCCTCAGACCCTATTTTGTTTTGTTTCTTAATTTTATGTATTTGGTACAGAGTCTCACTGAAAAGCTCAGACTTGTAGTGATCTTCCTGTTTTAGCCTCCCCAGAGCTGGAATGCAGGCGTGCACCCCCACACCCAGTCTCAGTGGCCAATTCAGGGTACCTGGGGCAGGGCACCTGGGGCAGGGCCAGCACCACATGCAGTACCAGGGATCAAACCTAGGTCCTTGAGCTTGTCAGGCAGGCGCCTAGACTGCTGAGCTATCTCTGGCCCCAGCCCCTGACTATTAATGCAGAACTCTGACTTGGATCCCCCACGATGGGAGGGAACAGCCAGCAAAAAGCCCAGAGGAGATGACAGTGGAGGAGAAACACATGGCAAGACGTCTTGAATTAAAGAATTCCACAAGGCACATACTTGTTCATTTTTTTCAATACCATGATGGAACCCAGAGTCTCATATACTAGGTAAGCACTCTACTAACAAGCTACATTCCTAGTCCTTCTCTGTCTCCATTTGTCTGCAGGTTACCTTTATCCATTTTCCTGCAAATCAATTTGTTTCCTGCCTTCAATCTTACTCCATTACTTATTTTTATAGCTCTTTTACTTTTTTCTTAGTTATTTATATTTTTCCATTGATGAGAATTGGCCTAGGGCTTTGTGCAAGCCAGGCTTGACCCCTAAGCTACACTGAGACCCCACTGCTTTTGTTACCTGTGCTGGTTACCCCAGGAGCCCTGGGTCTGGTTTGATGGTAGTACTGTTTCTCTGACCCCTTAAGCACTCCTGTCACTCAGTTGGCAGCAGTGGAGAAAACCTTCACTCTGGGCCCAGCCAGACCCTCTTCTGGAGCACCAAGGGGTTGAGGAGGATAGAATAAAACTTCCACACTATTACTGATTGCATGTCACAGCTGGTGGGGCAGCAAGGCGGGTCTAGCTTCCTAACTCATTTGTGGCCACAGGTTTTGACTTCTACTTAAAGGCCATGGGCCTCCTACAGGACACAGCAAAGACAAACCAGCAGTAGCCATCTATACTTTCTGACTAGATACCTGGAGGAAAGAAGTAAAACAAAAATTACCATTTTTTAAGTGTCCTTGTCTCAATTCTAGTCCTTTATCTGCAGTTATAAGCAGTTCCTTGATCTTTCTTCTCTGTAGTGCCTAGAAAGAAATTGAGAGAGTTAAAAGGACTGTTTCTGGTCCCATAGGATTGCCTCCGCCTGAAAAAAAATATGGCATTAAAAATACTAGAGAATACTAGTATAGTTTCTATCCAACAACTTATAAGTAGGAAGTTAGGGCAAAAATATCTATCATCTCTGTCACAGTTACTCAGCAAGACCAAAGTCACAAGTAATAGTTACAGCTCTATGGAAGAGGCAATGGGATTGTGGAAATCCATCTAATATATTGCTTTCCCTCAAGGATGTGAATTCTGGATTTTCTCCAAACAGCTTAAGACAAACACAGCTGTCTACACTGTCACACTCTTCAGTGGGCTATATTCACAGTACTTACTTAGAAAACCCCCACACACACATCATTGTTCTCCTTCAGTCAATGCTGAGGGCAGGCAAGTTGTAACTTAGTCCATCCACATCACACTTTTTGCTGCATGAGTCCTTAATGTTCTTACACTATCTAGAAACAACTCCAGGGGATTCTAAATCAAAGATGGAGAGAAAGGGCCGCACACCTTATCTAAACCAGGGATAAAATACTGAACCTGCAGCCATGCTTACTAAGAAAAGCTAAAAATGTACCCAAATGTACACAGGTCCTTGAGAAGCATTTCATCTCTGACCCCAGTTCAACACAGTTTAGTGTCAGGTGGTCATAGAACATATCCAAACTAGAAGACTTGAGAATGAAGACAATGGTAGTGTTTCCTCTTGAGGCTAAGCTGGACAAACCAACATTCATGGTTCACAACTTATATGGAGCGACATAGAGTCTATCTCTAAGGATGAAGGACTGCTTTTATATCCAATGAGCTTTTCTTCTAATTACAGCTCATCACAATGGACTAAAAATTTCCTGAAGACTTATTGGGAGGGGCCAGGGAGATAGCTCAGTAGAATAAGCATTTGCCTTGCAAGCACAAGGGCCTGAGTTCAATCCCCAGTTCCGCAAAAAAAAAAAAAAAAAACAAAAAAAACAAAAAAAACACAAACAAACAAAAAAAACCTCATTGGGAAATACAGGGTATATAAGAGTAGACCCTGAGGAGTTCCAATCATAAAAGGAAGAGAAGCTGAGATTCAGCACCGTATTTCCTGTGAGGCAATGCAGGCTGATTCCTAAAGTATCAGCTGAGAGTCTGAAACGCTGATCAGGGCTTCCAGCCATTTTACAAGACATGGGGGAAAAATAACTATAGCTTGGCACTGCACTGCCTCCCTCATATGAGAAACTTAAAGAGTAAATAAGGTCTAAAATGTGCAAGAGATATTGTGAAATGAGAAGAAATTATTAAAAAGGGGAAAGGAGCTATGATTGGAAAAAGAGGAAAGGACGGAAGGGAAAACAGAAAAATGCAAATTAGTTATACTATTAGTGTCTCTTAATTCATAAGAAAGAAAGGTTTGCACTTATTTTGATGAGATTTTGTATGCTCATATCTTATACTGAGTCACTACTTTAAAGATAACAATATGCAGTACATTAAGTATTATTATTCTCCTATCATCTTGTTATAAAATTCTATTTTACTTTTTCTCATAAAATAAAAAAACAGGGCTGGGTGACAGTTCAGAAGTCTAAGCTCCTTCCTGGCAGGTGCAAGGTCCCAAGTTCAATCCCTGGTACAGTGTTGCATGCTATGCCAATCCTGGAACCACAGATGCACCTTGCAGCCACCAAAACCAAACATGGTGGTGCACACCTGTAATTCAAATGGGGACGCTGAGACAGGAGGATCATTATGAGTCTGAACTATGTAGTGAGATCCTGTATCCAAAGAATAAAAATAAAAATTTAACATGTATACATAAAACTTTAAAAATTAAAAAGAAACTATAGTTTTGGTATTATCCTGGTGAGGGATTATGATGAACCCCAGATTTTCCACTAGACCTAAAAGATGAATCCCTAGAAACAAAGTTGAGTAGGAATTAGACCAGTTCTCACAAGGATAGATGCTCAGTTTCAAACCACTGACAAATCATGCAAGGAGCAAAACGAACCCTCTGGGAGTTACCAACGGCCTCAATTGAGGTCAATGTCCACATAAATAAATATCTAGCACTAAAAAACATTATTAGGTTGACCGTAAGGTAGTGATTTACAGAAACCAAAAGAAGAATCACAGAAACAGATTCCTATGGAATCATCTATTAGGTTTATTAGGTGTCAATTCTGAAATAGATGTCTAATTAATATGTTCAAGAAATTAAAGAAAGGGACCCAGGAGATAGCTCAGTAGAATAAGTGCTTACCTGGGAAGCACAAGGACCTGAGTTCAATCCCCGGTTCCACCAAAGAAAAAAAGGAAATTAAAGAAAAACTGAAAAAATGTTGGTGAATAAATAGAAACAATAAAAGAATAAAATTTTAGAACAAAAAGTTAAAATAACTGAAACTAGGAAATTAGAGTTCAATATCATATTAGACAAAGCTGAAGAAAAAAATCAGTGAAGTAAACCATCCTTTTTGAGACAGGATCTCACTAAGTCACTAAATTTCCAGGATGGTCTTAAATTTGTAATCCTACCTCAGCCTCCCCGAGTACTGAAATTACAGTTGTGTGTAACAACCCCCGTCTAAGAATTTTGCAAAACTGATTTAACACTGCAAGACACAAACTAAAGAGTGCAAAAAAATTTCAGTGGATAAGCAGAAAGAACCTCACACCCACATATCTTAGTAAAATTTGTGGAAACCAAATATCCTAAGAAAAAAAACATTAAAGCATCTAGAAGACAAAAGAAATTTTACCTTCAAAGGAACAATAAATTTACTGATGCCTAACTTCTTAGTAGAAACAATGGTTGTTACAAAAAAAAAAACACAATGCAAATAACTCTTCATAGAGTAAAAGCGTCTGAGGTATATTTTTAGACAAACAACAGTTTACTACTAGAATTCCTGAAACAAAGGAAGCATTAAAGATAGAAAAAGTAATAGAGACAAAAGTTCATAGATACAGGAGGGGCAACAGAAAATAAATTATTTGTGTAACATAAATGACAATTACCTTTGCAACAAACATAAATAGTGTCTTGAGGGATACATGCATAAATAAGTAGAATTAAAACAAATTATAACAATAATACCTAAAATGAGAAGAAATATAGTTTAACTGTTTTAAGGTACTTGCTTTCTCCTGAAATTGGTAAATATGTTAATTCAGATGTTAATAATTCAAATATGAAAATTTTTATCTGCATGTCAAACACCAAAAGAGTAGTGAGAATATGTGGCAAGCTAGTAAGCATAAAACAAAAATAATAAAATATATTCAGTCACAAGAAGGAAGAGAAGAACCAAAGAACAGGTAGGACAAACCAAAAGAAAACAGCAAGACAGTAGATTTTTTTAAAATATTTATTTATTGTGTGTGTGTGTGTGTGTGTGTGTGTGTGTGGCCAGCTCAGCCCACCAGGGGGTACTGGGGGATTGAACCGCGGTCCCTGTGTTTTGCTTAGCTTAGCTTGTTCTAAGTAGGTGCTTTAGACCACTGAGCCATCTCACCAGCCCAAGACAGTAGATTTAAATGTAACTATATCAACAAATGTGTAGCACATTTATAAAACAAGAATTCTCGTAATAAGTAACAAAATAAATTCTAATTATATACTACTTTAAGAAAGAATATATGGATAAGGAAAGTTGAAACCAGGATGGAAAAGCATGTATTATGCAACATCAAAAGGAGATAACTATTCAGAGAAAAGAAAGTTATCTTAACATCACTCTCATATTAAGAGTTGTGAGGGTAATTTATAGCTCTCTGTCTAGAATGTAAACAGTGAAAAAATGTAACCGCCCTTATCTACCTCTACATCTCACAGCTCCATGCAAACTGTACCAGGAATGTCTGCCCCACGAGCAAGCTGAGCAAAGGGTATGCACACAGGGACATTAAAGGCACACTTACCTTTTTTATAAATGACATGTATTTTCTATCTTGATGATAGGACCCATATTCATTCTCAATCTGTACAGCAATGATGGGGCCTCCCTTGCTATACTGGAGGCCAGGAGAGAAGAGTCTATCAGGTTGCTGGTGGGAAACACTGGATTCTCTGAACTTATTGAGCACACACACAAAAACGACACATTCCTGAACACAACCGCATGTTCACCACAGTTCAAGCAATTTAACTCAGCAGTTAGTGGTCACTTTGGGGAAGTTAAAGACTTAGGATCCTACCTTTGCCATAACTCCCATTATTACTTCCCAAATTCAGTGCATCAAGCATGAGGCCTCAAGCTCCCACAACCAATCTCTGTTTAGCATGGCTCAATGGCTAGAGTCCGCTGTCCTTTCTAAGGGTCATCTCACCTCCTGGAGGCTTGATCTCATCTGAGACTATGCTCTTTAGAGAATTCACTCTGCCTTCTGTATCTTCACCTTTCTTTATTGACCACTTATCATCCTCCTTTAAATTGACTTCAGGCTTTATGTTAAAAGGGCCAGCAAGATAGCTCCACAGAATAAGCACTTGCTTAGGCAAGCGCAAGGAGCAGGGTTTGATCCCCAGCCATGCCAGTCCTGCCCCTGGGTGCACTGAGCTAGCTAGTCACCTTGCCTGAGACTGGGCAAGGGGGCTCATGCCTATAATACCAGCACTGGGGAGGCTGAGACAGGAGGCTTACTATGAGTCCAAGCCGTGTGAGACCCTATACCACATACATACATATGTAATAACTTCCCTAGACCATATCTCCCTCCAGTTACCACCCTCTTGACCTCTTCATCTTCAAAGCCAAATGTTGTGATGTATTTCTTCCTTCAATCTTGACATAGCTTCATTTACTCCTTTACTCACTGTGATCTTACTTTTGCTTTTTCCAATCCACCTAAACTACTAACATTGACCTTCTCTTTGCTAAATTCAAGCAGGAGGTTTTAGTCTTCATTGAACCTCTTTCACCGCACATTCAACACTTAGGACTTTCTTCATGCTTGGAGCCTTCCTTCCCTGTCACTGAGTGTGTCTTCTGTAGCAGGTTCCCTCCCAATGGAGCTAGCACCTCTGGTTACTTTTTGTTGTTCTCCTGTATGAGCTCCTCCCACCCCACCCACTAGTAATGTTGATGCTATTCATGGTTCTCTATTAGTCCCCACTCTGCACCAAATCATATCCACTTTGGCCCACTAAACTACTCCTTTTGCAAAATATCAGCATATTTTCCCTTCTTATTGGTTTTTTCTGCCAAAGTAAACATGATAGGGAAGAAAAAGAGGCTTTAAATTTCTAAATGACATATACCCTGCTGACAAAGATTGAGTTTTTCAAAGCTTGCTTCTTTCTTCTCCCTTATCTTCCAATGAGGAATTCTGTTGGGAGCCACTGAAATTGGAAATTGATCATACCTAGAAGGGCAGGACAAGGCCAGAGTGCCTAAGACAGTCAAGGTACCTCAGTCTTGAGAAAAACATCCTGCCGGTCAATTGTGGCTATTAGTGTCTAGGCAGCTATGGGTCTCCTGATACTAGCTTTCCAAAGGGATAAATAAATGCCCCTACTGTTGCTCTTACCAATCAGGCAAACAGACCTCCACCTGAACCCAGCTCTTGTCTCTTATCTTTTTCCTTATTCCTGTCACCATTTCTCCCTGGGGCACACCAAGACATTGAGTCCCCACAGACTTCAGAAGACTAAACCACAGAAAAGTAAAGGGAAGAGGTCCAGAGTTCACAGTGCCTGAAGTTAACTGAAGCGTGAGATCCTGAATCAGATGAATACAATGGAGGGATCTGAAGGAAGGGTACTCAGTAGTAAAAAGGCACCAATAAGAAGACACCGTGTAGTGCTTTCTGGACATCGCAACCTCCTAAGGGCCAGGCCTCATGCTCACTAAGCAGCTTTCTGACTATTCATTTAGTTTTCCAGATAGGAGTTCCAAGACTTAAAAGTCTTCAATTAAAAATGGTGTAAGCACTCAAATCCAGCAATGCCCAATTGAATTTTACACAATAACAAAAAGTTCTGTATTTCTACAGTCCCAGATAGCAGCAACTAGTCACTCATGGCTACTGAACACTTGAAAAGTGGTTAATGATTGAGAAACTGAATTTTAATTTTATAATGTTAATTAATTTATAAGGGGTGATCAAAATATATAGTGAGGACTTTTAAAATTTTAAGTATTATAGTAAAAGAACACATTGCCACCCTTCCCTGACAAAACTAAACAAAGAAGGGGGTACAAATGAATGACCATTTTGTATCTGTATATTCAAAGTAGTTAGGATAGATATGCAGCTACCTTATCTTAATTCAATGAATAGAGAGGTTTGTTCTAATAGTGTTTGTGGACAGGATACCAGGTCTGCATCTTGCACAATGAATAACCACTAAGACAACAACATGCAATGTATTCATTATTGAAACTGTGCTAGTAATCGGATTTGAAACTGTCTCATTGCTATTTCTCAATAAAATTATTTTTTAAAAAACATATTGCCATTAATTACCCCTCAAAATACTTCCCTCACTTTGAATGCACTTATTCCACTATTCTCATCACTGAAGCATTCTGGAAGTCCTATTTTATGAGTGTCGTCACCTAGGTGTAATCAAAATCTGGTGAATGCTGCTGCCAAGTGCCATTCAGGAGAAAGAGAGCTTATCACAGTGTGTCCTTAACCCACCTGATTTACCAGATCTGGCGCAGGACAACTCCTGCATCTTCCCCAAAGCCAAAAGGACCATAAAAAGTAAATGTTTTAAATCATTTCAGGACACTGAGGCAGCCATGACAGCAAAACTGAACATATTCATGAAAGAGAACTTCTAGAACTCCTTCAAAAAATGGTAAGGACAGTGAGATTAGCGTGTCCAAAGCAGAAGGCAGTATTTTGAGAACTAATAGTAATGAGTCATTTTTTAATAATTTTATTGAGAAACAGCAATGAGAGAGTTTCAAAACCTATTAGTAGGACAGTTTTCAATAATTAATACATTGCATATTGTTGTCTTCTTAGTGGTTACTCATAATACAAGATGCAGACATGATAATCTGCCCACAAACACTATTAGAACAACTCTTTCTATTCATTGAATTAAAAGAAAGTAGCTGTATATCTATCCTAACAATTTTGAATATGCAGATGACTCTTTTAATAAAATAAATCATTTCACTGATCATTCACCATAATTTTCTAACGCTAGTCATAAGTTTAACTTTCCACACATGGCTATGGCTATCCTATCACTCCATGATGGTTTCTATAAAAGGCCATCTCTCTTACCTCCTGAAGGGCACACTGATTTATGTTCAGGAGGCTTAATGACTCCCTTTACTCTAACCCTGGGATATTCATGTAGTTAGGAGCCAAATTTCTATGGCAGACAACTAAGTTAGTTATAAATATTCCAGGCAGTTAGACAGCGCTCAGGAGACAGTTGTGGCCAGATGCTCATCCACTGAAGGCAAAGCTTCAAGAAAAAGTGGAGCAACCATATCCACACACTTTCCCACTGCTTTTTTTTTTTTTTTTTAACTTAAGAGGTTGGGGCTTGGATCATAGGAGCGGTGGGACTCTGTGGAGGCCAGATTCCCACTGCCAGCCAGTGCAGTCCCTCATGTTCACTGCTCCCCTCCACTGCTGTGTCTCTTTGTGGAGGCCTCTGGGGAGGCCAGCAGTCTCCATG